TGAAGCTTTTCTACCAAGAAGTTGCTGCAACGAAGGTCAAGGAGGTTGATACCTGTGTTTTTCTCTAAAATGTTGATGGTTTCCAATTAGGTCTTTAATCCATTTTATTTTTGTGTATGGTATAAGGAAATGGTCCAATTTTATTCTTCTGCATGTAATTGTCCAATTTCCACAATACTGTTTGTTGAAGAGACTTTTATCCTTTGCATATTCTTTCCTGCTTTGTTGAAGATTAGTTGACCATAGAGCTAAGGGTCCATTTCTGGGTTCTCTATTCCATTCCATTGATCTATGTGTCTGTGTGCCAGACCATACTGTCTTGATGATCACAACTTTGTAATATAGCTTGAAGTCCAAAATTGTGATGCCAACAGCTTTGGTTTTCTTTTTCAATATTCCTCTGGCTATTCACAGTCTTCTCTGGTTCCATACAAATTTTAGAATTATTTTTTCCAGCTCTGTGAAAAATGTCAATGATATTTTGATAGGTATTGCATTGAATTTGCAATTATATTATATATAATAATTATATGTAGATTATATGTAGATTGCTTTGGGTAACACAGACATTTTAACAATATTTGTTCTTCCGATCCACAAGCATTGAAAATTTTCCATTTCTTTGTGTCTTTCTCAATTTATTTCATAAGTGTTCTGTAGTTTTCAGAGTATATATTTTTTACCTCTTGGGTTAGTTTTATTCCTAGGTATCTTATGGTTTTTGGTGCAATTGTAAATGGGATTCATTCCTGATTTCTCTTTTTTCTTTCTCATTGTTAGTGTATAGAAATGCAAGTGACCTCTGTGCACTGCTTTTATACTCTGCCACTTTAGTGAATTCCTGTATGAATTCTAGCAATTTGGAGGTGGAATCTTTTGGGTTTTCTGTATAGAGTATCATGTTGTCTGCAAAGAGTGAAAGCTTAACTTGTCTTTGCCAATTTTGATATCTTTTATTTCTTTTTTTTCTATGATTGCTGAGAATAGAATAGGTCTTCCAGTACTAAGTTGAACAGTAGTGATTGAGAGTGGACCATCCCTGTTAGGTTTCCAATCTTATTATTGAGGATAATATTTGAGTGGGTTTTTTGTATATGGCTTTTATGATATTGAGATATGTTCCTACACAATGGAGAGTTTTTATCAAGAAAGGATGTTGTACTTTGTCAAAAGCTTTTACTGCATCTCTTAAGAGGGTCATATGTTTCTTGTCCTTTATTTTATTAATGTGACATATCAATTGATTGATTTGTGGATGTTGAATCACCCTTGCATCCCAGGAAGAAATCCCACTTGCTCATGGTGAATACTCCTTGTAATATACTATTGGGTCCTATTAGCTAGTAACTTGGTGAGAATTTGGCACCCATGTTCATCAGAGTGTTGGTGTGTAATTCTTTTTGGTGAGGTCTTTCTCTGGTTTTGGGAACAAGGTAATTATGGACTCGTAGAATGAGTTTGGAAAATTTCCTTCCATTTCTATTTTTTGAAAAGGTTTAAGAAGAATAGGTATTATTTCTTTTTTAAACATTTTGTAGAATTCCACTGGGAGACCCTCTTGCCCTGGATGTAGTTTGTTGGGAGATTTTTAATTACTGCCTTCAATTTCTTTGCAGGTTATCTGTATGTTCAGATTTTCTATTTTTGTTTTATTTTTGGTAGTTTATATGAATGCATCCATTTCTTTCAGATTGCCTAATTTGTTGGTAAATAATTGCTTATAATAACATCGTATCGTTGTTTGTATTTCTTTGATGTTTATTGTGATCTCTCCTCTTTCATTCATGATTGTATTTACTTGAGACTTTTTGCTTTCTTTTTGATAAGGTTAGCTAAGGGTTTATTGAGCTTATAAATTCTTTCAAATAACTAGCTTCTAGTTTCTTCTATCTTTTCTGTTGTTCCTCTAATTTTTATAACATGGATTTCTTCTCTAATCTTCATTGTTTCTCTTCTCCCGCTGGACTTAGACTTTAATAGGTGTTCTTTTTCCATCTTCTTGAGGGGTAAGTTTAAGTTGCATATTTGAGGCCTTTCTTGGTTTTTAAGAAAGGCCTATATTGCTATATATTTCCCTCTTAAGAGCACCTTTCCTACATCCCAAAGGTTCTGAAATGTCAAGTTTTCATTTTCATTTGTTTTATTTGTTTTTTGAAATTCTTCTTTAATTTTCTTATTAATCCATTCATTCTTTAGTAGGATTGTCTTTAACTTCCATGTATTTGTGTTCCTGCCAAATTTTGTTTTGTGATTGAGTTCAAGTTTTAAAGCAGCATGGTCAGAAAATATGCATGGAATCCAAACTTTTGATATCAGTTGAGATGTGAGTTGTGACCTAGTATGTGATCTATTCTGGAGGAAGTTCCACGTGCACTCAAGAAGAATGTGTTTTCTGTTGCTTTAGGATGAAATGCTTGAATGTATCTGTCAAGTTCATCTGGTACAGTGTGCCATTCAAAGTCTTTTTGATCTTCTTAGATGATCTGCCCATTGCTGTGAGTAGGGTGATAAAGTCCCCTACTATTATTGTGTTATTATCAGTTTGTTTCCTTAATTTTGTTATTAATTGTTTTATATGATTGGTTTCTTCCAAGTTAGGGGCATAAATATTTACAATTGCTAGATCTTATTGTATAGGCCCTTTAATTATAATATAGTATTCTTCTTCATCTCTTATAATCTTTGGTTTAAAATCTAGTTTGTCTGATATAAGGATTCCTACTCCAGGTTAGTTTTGATGTCCATCAGCATGATAAACAGTTCTCCATACCTTAACTTTAAATCTGAAGGTGTCTTTGGGTCTACAATGAGTCTCTTGTAGACAGCTTATCAATGGGTCTTATTTTTTTTAACCTAATCTGATACTTTGTGTCTTTTGATTGGAGCATTTAGCCCATTTACATTCAGAGTACTTATTGAAAGATATGAATTTATTGCTGTTGTATTACTTGTAAAGTCACTGTTTCTGTAGTTTTTTTTTCCTTTCTGGTCTTTGTTCCTTTTGGGCTCCCTTTTTGCTCAAAGGATCTGCTTTAATATGTCCTGCAGAGCTGGTTTGGTGTTCATAAATTCCTTTAATTTTGTTTGCCCTGGAAACTCTTTATCTCTCCTTCTATACTGAATGACAGCCTTACTGGATAAAGTATTCTTGGCCGCATATTTTCTCCATTTAGCACATTGAATATGTCATGTCAGTCCTGTCTGGCCTGCCATGTCTCTGTAGACATGTTTGCTGCCAGCCTTAGTTCCTGCCTTTGGAGGTTAAGGACCTCTTTTCCTGAGCTGCTTTCAGAATTTTCTCTTTATCTCTGAAATTTGTGAGCTTCGCTATTATATGTTAGGGTGTTGACCTATTTTTATTGATTTTAAGGGCGGGGGGCTTCTCTGTGCCTTGTGGACTTGAATGCCTGCTTCCTTCATGAAATTAGGGAAGTTCTTAGCTCTAATTTGTTCAAATACACCTTCTACCCTTCTGTCTCTCTCTTCCTCTTCTGAGACCCCTATTATTAAAATATTATTTTGTTTTATGGTATTGTTGATTTCTTCAAGTCTCCCTCTTTGATCCAATAGTGTTTTTTCTCTCTTTTTTCAGCTTCCTTATTTTCCATCATTTTGTCATCTATATCACTGACTTTCTCTTCTGCCTCATTTATCCCAGCAGTTAGAGCCTCCATTTTTTATTGTATTTCAGTATTCTCTGTAAAAAATATATATATATTTTTATATATTAGAAATATATATATTATAAATATATAATAAATAAATATAACTATATATTATAACTATATATTTTATATATAATATATATTTCTAATATATATAAAATATATATATTTTAAAGAAAATGGAAGCCTGCTTTTATTGATGCACACATCAATGGACCTGCGATTGGAAGGGGCAGTGACGTTAACATGACACTCCTAGTTAATGCAACAGAAACATGAGGGCAGGAGATAGCTTTGCAGGGACATGATGCCTTCATAAGTTAGGGAAATGGACTGCTAGCTGGCTGCCCTCTCACTTCATGTTCTTCACAAACTCCTCTCCCTTTCTGATGGAGGCCTTCAGCACCGGGATGGCTTCTGCTATCATCTTCTCTTCAAAATGGGAGATCTTGCCAATGCCTAGATTCTTCTCGATGCCCTTTTTCCCCAGCAGTAACGGTGTAGAGAAATAGGCACAGTCTGCTTCCTGGGATTTAACAAAGGAACATTCGACATCTCCTTCTTTTCCATTCATTGCATCCACAAGGGAGAAGACAAACCGGGCTCCAGCATATGCCATGGACAGGGTGGCAGAGCCTGCTCCAGCTTTGGCCTTCACCACCTCCGTGCCGGACTCCTGAATCCACCCAGTGACGGCTGTCATCTAGTCCTGGGGAAGGTCCACCTTGGGAGTGCACTGAGACATCAGGGGGATGATGGTCTTCCCGGCATGACCACCAATGACAGGAACATTGACTCGCGTGGGATCCAAACCCTTTAGTTCTGCAATGAAAGTGTTGGCCCTGACAATGTCCAGGGTCGTGACCCCGAAGATTTTATTGGGGTTGTAAGCTCCGTGTTTCTTGAAAACCTCCGTTGCAATTGGGATGGTGGATTTGACCGGATTTGAAATGACGCAGATCATGGCCTCGGGGCAGTGCTGGGTGCAGGCAGCAGTCAGGGTGGCCACAACTGAGGCATTGGTGTTGAACAGGTCATCCCGTGTCATGCCTGGTTTTCTTGGGACTCCGGCTGGAATAACCACCACATCGCAGCCTTTGAGGCCATCCGGCAGCTGCTCAGGTCCGAGGTGGCCTTTCACGGTTGCTCTGGTCTCAATGTGGCTCAGATCTGCGGCCACTCCGGTGTATGAGCAATATCGTGGAGGGTCAGGCAGCTCCCTAAGGGGCTGTTCTTGAGAAGCAGCGCAAGGGGCTGCCCAATTCCTCCGGAAGCCCCAAGCACAGCTACTTCAGCATTGTTCTGGGCCGAGGTGTTGAAGCTGCGGCGGAGAGCATGGTCGGTTGTCTGAAGCAGAGCTATACACAGAGCAATGGGCGTAGGCCGTTTGGCATCTCTGCCCTTATTTTGGGTTTCGACTTTGATGGCACGCCCAGACTCTATCAGACTGACCCCTCGGGGACATACCATGCCTGGAAGGCCAATGCCATAGTTCGGGGTGCCAAGTCAGTGCGTGAATTTCTGGAGAAGAATTATACTGATGAAGCCATTGAGACTGAGGACCTGACCATTAAGCTGGTTATCAAGGCCCTCCTGGAAGTGGTTCAGTCTGGTGGCAAAAATATTGAACTGGCTGTTATGAAGCGAGATCAACCCCTCAAGATTTTAAATCCTGAAGAAATTGAAAAATATGTTGCTGAAATTGAAAAAGAAAAAGAAAATGAAAATGAAAAGAAGAAACAAAAGAAAGCATCATGATGATGGAATCTTGTAGTGATTTTTAAATTCAGATCATGGAGGGTTCTCAAAAATGATATGTAGGCATTTCCATTCCATTTACTGTCCATGTGTCCTGCAATAAATATGTTTGTTGACCTTTTCCAAAAAAAAAAAGATTAATTTTGGCTTGATAAGATTTTAGTTCTTTTACTTATATGGTAAGGGATTCTCTACTGTTGTCTATGCTTTTTTCGATCCCAGCTAGTATCTTTATAGTCATGTTTTGAATTCTAGTTCTGATATCTTACGTATATCCATATTGGTTAAATACCTGACAGTGAGTATTGCCTCTCGCTCTTTCTTTTGGGGTGAGTTTCTCTGTCTTGTCATTCTGTCTAGAAAAGAATAGATGAAAGAGAGAGAGAAGACCAAAATAACAATACCAGAAAAATACAAACAAAACAAATCTGAAGAAAACAGAAACAATACAAAATAAGAAAAAAAATGAATAACAAGTAAAATAGAACAAAACAATAAACTAGATTCTGTGTGTATTTTAATCTGTTTGTTAGATGAATCCTTTCCTTTAAGTCAGGGCCATTCCCAACTGTAGCAGACTTCTAAAAATTCTGTTTTTGCACTCTGCTGTTTATATATAATACTTTCCAGCAACCTCCTTAAGCAAGCTCCCTCCCTCTCTCAGTTTATATTCTGATATATTGCCTGGGATTCACATCTCTGTACTTACTACCTTCCAAAAAGTGGTTACTTTTCTATTTGTAGAACTGCAGCAATTATTTTATTAGCTATCCCCCCAATTTTGAGGTGTTCAGAATGATTTGGTAACTATCTAGCTAAATTCCAGGGACCAGACAAAATAAGTCTCCTACTCCTCCACTATCTTAACTCCTCCCCATACTTTATCTTTTTTTTCAAGATTTTATTTATTTATTCATGACAAATGAAGAGAGAGAGGCAGATGCACCGGCAGAGGGAGAAGCAGGCTCTATGTAGGGAGCCTGATGTGGGACTCGATCCCAGGATTCTGGGATCATGCCCTGAGCCAAAGGCAGAGGCTCAACCACTGAGCCACTCAGGTGTCCCCTACTTTATCTTTTTAATGTTCATGGATAAATAATTGTGGTTCTTTTTCCTTTTATGATATTAATAATTTGGGTTTTTTTTCTCTATTTTCTTGAATTTACCTGGCTAGGGACTAATCAATTTTATTGATTCTTTTTTTAAAGAATGAGCTTTGGTTTTAATTTCCTCTATTAATTTCTAGCTTTCTGAGGGCACCTGAGTAGCTCAGTCTTTAAGTGTTTGCCTTCAATTCAAGTCATGATCCCAGGGTTCTGGGATCAGTCCCATATTGAGCTCCCTGCTCAGCTGGCTTCTCTCTCTCCTTCCCACTCCTGCTCTCTCTCACTATCTCTGCCACTCTCCCTATCTCTCCAATAAATAAATAAAATATTTTAAAAATTTTAGTTTTCTATTATTTCTACTCTAATTACTTGATTTAATGTTCTCTTCCTTTTTCTAAATTTTTGTATGTTATATTTACATTTTGATTTAGTTTAACTTTTTTTTCTAAATTTCTTTTTTTTTAATTTTTATTTTATTTATTTATGATAGGCACACAGTGAGAGAGAGAGAGAGAGGCAGAGACATAGGCAGAAGGAGAAGCAGGCTTCATGCACCAGGAGCCCGATGTGGGATTCGATCTCGGGTCTCCAGAATCGCGCCCTGGGCCAAAGGCAGGCGCTAAACCGCTGCACCACCCAGGGATCCCTTTTCTCTAAATTTCTTTGACACATTCTTGTTCAAAATGTCATTTAGAAGTATTGCTTAATCATAACACATTTTGGAGTTTTCCAGTAATATTTCTCTTATTGATCTTTAGTTTAATTCCATCATTCCTTCTTGGTTTGAGAGTGTACTTATGATGGCTATTCTTTTTAATTTGTTAAGGTGGGTTTTATGGCCAAGCATATAGTTTATCTTGGTGAAAATTCCATGTGAGCTTAAGAACAATGTATATTTTCTTGCTGGGATAAATATTCTCCAAATGTCAATTAGATCAAGTTGATTGTACCAGTTTGGCCAATTATGTACTTACTGATTTTCTGCCTGCAGGATTTGTCAATTATAAATAGAGATGTGTTAGAATCTCCAACTGAAACAGTGAATTTATCCTTTACTCCTACAGTTATTTCAGGTTCTGCCTCATAAACTTGACCCCTTGTTCTTAGTTGCATTTTTATGGAACTTTGGATTTTTATACCTTTTTTTTCCTTATGTAATGCCCTCTTCAGCTCTGAAAATTTTCTCTTTGACTAGTGTTACCATGGTAAATCTTTCACCATCTCCTACTTTTAGTCTACCTGTGACTTTATACTTAAAGTGCATTTTTGGTAGATAACATTCTTGTTTATTTATCCACTCTGAAAATCTCTTTTAAAAATGGTATTTAGACTATTGCTTTTAAAAGTAATTACTGAACCCTTGCCACTGCACTTTCAGCTGCCCTGAAACACCTTTGGTGTTTGTGAATCCTCTGAAGCACCTTCTTTGCTGGAGACCAGCACTGCCATGCCCTAGCAGCAGTTCCATAGGCCTATCTGCTAGCTTCACATGGTACAGGCTGCCTCAGGGTTGTTAGCGGTCACTTAGTGGTGAAGAAGGTGCTGTGGTCACTGCCTGCCCTCCCACAGCACCCTAGGGTGGGTACACAGATAAATATGGCAAAGTGGTGGTAGCCGGCACCAAACTTGACTAGATGGGATGAGCAGGCAGGGCAGTCGCTGGAGCCCCATGATGTGGATGCCAGGCTTTCTCCTGGCAATTTGACCTGGCGACCTTGGGCTGGCACCCAAGATTTCAGATCACAGACCCTGAAGGTCACTGAGGGCTGCTCAAAGAGCAGGAAGCAATGGATGGACAGGACGTGGAGGGCATTGCTGAAGTTTTCTGATGTTTCATTTGTATGGAGAAATTCTGGGATGCATGCCTGTGTTCTCATTGCTCTAAGCTTTGTTGTTTCAGCTGTATCAGACACACTTTGACAGAGCAGAGGGCTCAATGTTCTCATTGCCAGGCTGCACTCCAGATAGGAGAACTAGCAAACTGTCGTTGGGCAGAAGAAATAACACAGCAGCTTGATACTCTTCAACTCTGCAGTCTCACCCAGCATAAAGAAAATGAAAAGGACAAATGTGAAAATCATCATTAAAAATTTAGTGTATTTTGCTGGACTCGTAAGAAATGTGTTTGTCATCCACATGCATTTGGGGAGGAATGCATGGTGGACTTAACCTTAACCTTTTGCAAAAATTTATGAACAGCATTTTACTAAAGTAAATGAAGAGGTAGGCAAAATACTTCATTGCCATCTCATGGAACTGATCAGCTTAGTTCAAGAAGTAGAACAAATGTAGAAGCTGTTCAAAAGCCAAAAGATGAGTGTGTTTGGGAAATTAAGAATGCAGTGTAGATGATGATTGCATGGTTAAACACACAGCTGAAGAATAAGCTCCTAACACTAATGGGTCAGAAGACATCTTTAACACAAGCTCTTAGAATCCTTAAGCAGGATTAAGGAGGTAGAGCACCAGCTGAGGTCTTGTAGTAAAAGTGAGTTGATATCTAAAAACTCAGAGATCCTCATGATGTTTCTGCAAGATTATTGAAAACCCATGATATCCTTTGTTACCACTCTTGTTCCACCAGACTTTGGCAGGTGCTGGCTCATATCTCAGGTCATTTGAAATAAAATCTCTGTAGATGGATTAATCTGCTTGGACTGACATAACAGAATACCAAAGACTGAGTGGTTTCCACTGTAGAAGTTTATTCCCTCACAGTTCTGGAGGCAAGAAGTCCAAGATCAAGGGTCTAGGAAATTTGATTTCTGATGAGGCCTCTTGTTGGATTACAGACAGCCACCTTCTCCCTGATCCTCCCAAGACCTTTTCTTTCAAGTACAGAGTTCGGTGTCTGGTGTCTTTTCCTCTTCTAATGGCATGAGCTTTATTGGGTTAGGCTCCGTCCCATCCTTACCATCTCAGTTTATTACTGCCCTAAAGGTCCTATCTCCAAACACATTGGCATTAGGGCCTCAACATATGAATTTTGGGAGATACAATTCAGTCCATAATATTTGTATTTTGTTCTTTTTAAATATCCTTATTTGGGGC